GAAGTAGATTGCCAGGCCTTTCTTCCTAGTCTGTCTTAGTCTGGAAAAATCTGCTGAAATCTATCGACCATGGGTGACCCTCCTGGTATGTGAAATAGCTTCCAGCATTAGAGCAACATGAAAGCCACCTCAGTACAACAAACTGACAGAGTCTTAGAAGAAATACAGGCAGAATGCTCCTCAGAAGTGAGGCTGGCGAGACTTTGGCTCGCTTACTTTGGGCATGTCATTGGGAAAGACCAATCACTGGAAAAGGGGATCATGTTTGGTAAAGTAGAGGGTCAGCGAAGATGAGGGAAACCCTCAGTGTGATGGATTGACACAATAGCCACAACAATGGAGGCAAACATTCCTATTATCCTGAAGATGGTGCAGCACTGGGTGATGTTTTGTTCCGTTTTCCACAAGGTCGCCATGAGTCAGAGCTGATCTGAGGGCAACTAACAGCAACTCCTTTTCCATTACTTTATTACCTGTTACAAATTTGGGCCTCTTTTGTCTTTACCCTTACTTGTGATTTGTAAAAGTTGGCCTCATCCCCTCTGTCCCTCCCTCTCCCCCCACATTTCTCTTCTGTATCTGTTTGGTTTAGTTCCTTTATCTTTTCAGGGTATGTGCATATCAGCTATTAAATGAAAGCCTCTCTGACCACTTGGGAAGGGAGGAAGGATGATTTGCCTCATTTTACAAATAAGGGACACTGAGGCTCAGAGAACCTGTGTGTATAGCTTATATAGCTCGTCATTAGCACTTGCAAAGCTGGTGTGATTCCTGACCCTGTGCCCTTTCCAGTGGGGAGGTAGATTTAGTACTTGGTGTGTTTGCAGGGGAGTCCCTGGGTGGTGCAATGAACTTGCTTGGCCGCTAACCAAAAGGTTGGAGGTTGGAATCCACCCAAAGGTGCCAAGGAAGAAAGGCCTGGTGATTACTTCTTAAAAAAGTCATAGCCATTGAAAACCCTATGGAGTGTAGTGCTACTCTGATGCGCATGGGGTTGCCATGAGTTGAATTTGACTCCACAGCAACCAGTTTTACTGGTGTTGATAGGTGTTAGAGGGGTGTGCTGCATATTCAGTTCCAGAACTTTCTCCTTGCCCAGCTAAGACCCCCTTATGGGAGCTGCCCAGACCCAGGACCCCTGGTGGTGCAGTGGTCAAGAGCTATGGCTGCTAACCAAAAGATGAGCAGTTTGAATTCATCAGCTGCTCCTTGGAAATCCTATGGGGCAGTTCTATTCTGTCCAATAGGGTTGCTATGAGTTGGAATCGACTTGAAGCCAACAGGTTCAGATCCAGGCACTATATGAGCCTCGAGGGCCTCTTGAGGTCACTGGCTTTAACCCCTTGTTATACTGAGTCCCAGAGAGGAGTGTGACTGGTCCCAGCACGCATGACCTGCCAGCAGTAGAGCCAGAAAGCCAACTGGAATCATCCTCTGACTCAGTTGAAGTGAAAAATACCTTTACTCAAAAGTCTCACCTAGGGCCTGGATGGATTTAGCCACAGCTTTAATTTTTAGAAGTTAATAACCCAGTTCTATGAGTCATGGGCAGGATTGGGGCCTGCCCAGGAGCTCATTTTGCCTCTTCTGGTTTGCTCCGCAGGGATTTGTCATAATTTATAACCTCTGCTTGCCCAGCCCTCCCTCAGCTTCCAGCTCTGGGCCCCCGATTTTCCCATCCTCAGGATTGTAAATTGTTGTTGAATTTGGCATAGACGCTTAGTTAAGGCTTTCAGACACACAGCTTTCAGACCTGATGGTGTGCCCCCAGCTCCCTGCAGTGCCCCTGCCTGAGCTGTGTGACCGAGCTGTAACACCTGCCTCTCCTCCATATCATCAAATGGCCACTCCTCAAGTCGGTTGCTGGCAGCTGGTCTTTATCTTCAGTCATCAAAAACCAAACCCTTTGCTATAGATTCCAACTCCTGGTGACCCCATGTGTTACAGAGTTACAGATTTCCATAGGGTTTTCTTGGCTGTAGTCTTTACAGAAGCAGATTGTCAGGCCTTTCTTCTGCAAAGCTGCTGGGTGGGTTTGAACCACTGATCTTTAGGTTCATAGACAAGCACAAACAATTTGTCCCACCTAGGGAGCCTCTAAGGAGCCCTGGTGGCACAGTGGTTAAAGGAATCGACTGCTAACTGAAAGGTCAGTGGTTTGAAACCATCAAGGGCTCCACGGGAGAAAGATGCAGAAGTTTGCTTCCATAGAGATTTACAGCCTTGGAAACCCTATGGGGTCGCTAAGAGTCAGAATCAACCAGCAGCAGTGGGTGGGTGTGAGGGGCCTTCTAGAGTCATTAGTAGTAGACAATTTCAGGATTCTGAGCACTTTGCTACATGTTTACATGCATTGTCTCACTCAATACTTAAGACCTTGTAAGAGGGGCCAAGAGAAGTCATTTTTTTTTTTTTCATCCTGCAAGAAACTTTGATTGTTAGGATATAGGAATTGGTAGGTGTCTTTCAAGATCATGAGATCCAAATACCTTGTTTTAAAGTTGTGGAGAAGCAGAGGCCCTGTGAGGGATGCGTGCTGACCTCTGGCTGGAACCCAGGGCCTGGCCCTGACCAGGCACCCTGTTGCACAGCAGTGCCATTATCTGTCTAGTTGTTGAGAGCCAAGACCGGGACACAGAAGAGCTTAGGTCTTGCCATGGAAGTGCTGTGGAAGTCGCCCAGCCTTGCTTGCTCTTCTGAGCCATATTAACAAGTAGATTGAGAGTAGGGTGGGCAATGGGCCATAATTTGTATTCCCCAAATGGTGGGCATGGCTGCAGTTGACTTAGGTTCAGTGCACTTTCACTGAGTGCCTTATATGCCATGCTAGTGTGGGGAGGAGGAGGATGGTGATGAGGAAGGCACTGCTCCTTCTGCTGGATGCAGCCCCACAGGCTCCAGCTTGGTGGGAGGAGCCGTGGCTGGATTTGCACCCCCACTGGTGCCCTCAGCTGGGTGTTTTTGTTCAGGGCATGGCCTTCATAACCATTTTCAGCGGGCTGGTTCAGTGGTAGAATTCTCAGCTTCCACATGGGAGACATGGATTCTATTCACGGCCAATGCATCTCTTGCACAACCACCACCCGTCTGTCATTGTAGGCTTGTGTGTTGCTATGATGCTGAACAGATTTCAGTGGAGCTTCTGGACTAAGCTGGACTAGGAAGAAAGGCCTGGCCATCTACTTCTGGAATCAGCCAGTGAAAACCCCATGGATCACAACAGTCCAATCTGCAACTAATCATGGGGATGGTGCAGGACTGTGCAGTGTTTCATTCCATTGTACACGGGGTTGTCATGAGTCAAGTGTCGACTCCATGGCAACCAACAACAATAGCAAAACAAGGAGAGGGTATTGGCAAAGGGAGAAGGTAGGATAGAAATCAGGTAGTAGGCACTTTCAGGATTCCAGGCACTGAGCTAAGTGTGTTACAAGCATTGTCTCACTCAATACATAAGACTTTGTGAGAGAGGTAGGTACTATAAATTATCCCAGTTTTGGAGATGAGGGAATGGAGGCTGAAAGACATTAAGTAACTTCCCCAACGGCACAATACTAGAAAGTGGCAGAACTAGGATTCCATCCAGGTCCTCTGGCTCTTCTTGGAAGAGGGCTAGAGTAGACATGGCAGGGGAGAGGAAGGGCTGGGAGGGGAACTCTGCATGACTAGGGGTGGGATGAGCAGGATGAGGCCCGGGAGGGAAGCAGCTTTAACTTGTCCGTTCAGGATACAGGGTGTGCAACTTCTGCCTTCTTTCTGGGCCTGGGAAAGTGGCCAATATCCCAATATCTGGAGCAGTTGGAAGACTGAGTCCACAGCTGGGGAACCAGCCAGAGCCCAGCAGGGTCTAATTCTAGAGCTGAAAAGGATCCTCAAAATGTGGTTTCCTGCCGTAACATCCACAGGAATCAAACACTTGAGAGAGAGCTAACTTCCTCAGCTGACCTTTCCTCACAATTTTCCCGTGACACCTCTGGGGGGACATGAATGGGGTCCTAAGGGAGCACTTATATGGCTCTGTTGTTGTTAGTTACTGTCGAGTCAGTTCCAACTCATGGCGACCTCATGTGTTACAGAGTAGAACTGCTCCATCGGGTTTTCTGGGCTGGAATCTTAACAGAAGCAGATCATCAGGCCTTTTCTTCTGCAGGTTTGAACTGCCAACCTGTAGGTTAGCAGTCGAGTGCAAATCAACTAGAACTGTCCACAACTAGATCTGTCCATGTTGAATGAAGCCTTGGTCACTTTTTCTGGGTCAGTGCCAACCTCCAGAACAGGAGCAGAATCATGACAGCTTAGGGTTGTGAGCATGTTATAGATATTCTCATCCTGCGTCCATCTGTACACAGGGGTCCTTTTGCAGCTCCCCCAACTGAGATCAGTGTGCCCACTACATCTTAGGGTAGTTCATTCTACTGTAAGGTAGCTGTGATTGTTGTTAAGATCTTTCTCATACTAATCCCAAAGTGATCTCCCTATAAATTCCTATTGTTCTTGATTCTGTCTTCTATGGCAATCTGGAGAAAATATGATCCAAGAATAGCAAATAGGTTTCATTTTGATAACCAACTCCAGTCAGTTTGTTGGCGCTGCCTGAAGTCCTGGGTAGAAGAGGGTTATGAGGCCAAGACTGGGCTCCCAAGGAAAGTCCAACAAACTGTGACATAATTAGCAGTTAGGTGACAAGTGGGTTTCAACTCAAGTTTTAGCTCCAATCAATGGGTAAGGAATACCTGAAGAGTTCTAAGGCTGTATGTGAGTCAGTGAGGAGGGAAAGGAAATCACAATCAATTATTAATGTCTGTCACAGGCACAGGAAATGACAATATTGGTGCATGTGCCATGATACTGTCATTCCTGGATCAGATGATCCCTAAGGTCCCATCCAGTTAAAAATTCTGTGATTAAAAAAAAAGGTGACCTTTTAAAGAAGCAGAGGAGTTGGAATGTTTGTCCCTGGAAATCCCACTTGTAACCTTTTTCAAACTCTTCCTCACTAGGTGGAATTAACTGTGGAGAAGGAGGTGGCAGGCTTCTGGGTCAAGATCCCATGTGTGGAACAGATTGGCAGCTGTACCTATGCAGACTTCTGTAATGTGCTCGACAGTTTCATTCCCCCTGGAGAGAACTGTCCCGAACCCCTGCACACTTATGGGCTTCCGTGCCACTGTCCCTTCAAAACAGTAAGTACTTGGGGAGGGATGGCATTATCCCTCTGGCTGGAGTAAAGAGATTGGGTTTGGAGAGAAGGGCCCTGGCATTCTTCTCCTGCAGATCTGGATGTCTGTGGTGTAAGTTGGTATGACCTATCCTGAACCACCTATCTTTTCTGGGCCTCAGTTTATCCATCTAAGAAATGGGAGGCTTGAACTCGGATGTGATCTCCAGGGTCCTTTAGCTGTAACATTCCATGCTCTGCAGTGCTGTGGCCATCTCTAATCTTGTGTGGCTCTTAGGAGAGCAGTTCATGGCTGTAATCCTAGAGATGGCTCCAGGAGAGGGTCCCATCAATAGACTCCCACTGACTGGTGGTCCACTGGCTTTCCTGCAGGGCACCTACTCACTGCCCAAGTCTAATTTCACCTTGCCTGAACTGGAGCTGCCTGGCTGGCTCAGCACCGGGAACTACCGCAGCAAGATCATCCTGAGCAACAAAAACAAGCGTCTGGGCTGCGTCAAGATCTCTGCCTCTCTCAAGGGCAAATAACATGGTACCAGCCACAGCTGAATAATGGGACATGAAGAAGGTGTCTCTTTCCTGTCTTGCATCTGTCAAAGCTGGATTCTGACTTTGTCCCCTTTAAGTCCTTTTCTGCACTGATTCCACCACCCTTGTAGAAAATCATTTCCTGCCACCTATGCTGTAGGCTGGGGCAAACCAAGGCTTTGAACCGATTTGTTCTGGTTCGAACACCTGCTGAGAATCTGCATTTCTAACAAGTTCCCAGGTGATGCTAATGCTGTCGTTAGGGACCAGTTCTGAGAACTACTAGTAGAGCAGTGGGTCTCAAAATTTATTATTCGTAAGAATCACCTGGGGATCTTGTTAAACTGTAGCTTCTAATTCAGTATATCTGGGGTGGAAAAGCAAATTGTCAGCAGCGGTTAAAACTGGAACAAACTGGTTTGAAGCCCTGGGGCAAACAGCCCTGGTTGAAGAGAGGAGAAGTTTGGCACTTTTGGACAGCACAGGACATCTGCTGGGCTGGCCATTTCCTTTTCCTCACCACCCCTGTGGCCTTCTCCCTAAGAGCTTTGCTCATTTCCTAAATACTCAAGGAATACAAATGAACATGCCATGGAACCCCAAGTTCAGGTTGACCCAATCTCTTCAAGTACCTTTATAACTTTCTCATTCGTTTTTAATTTTTTTGTCACTGGCTTGAAAGCAGAGCAAGTGTATTAACATTTTTTCATTTTACTCTAACCCCCTCTTATAGTGAAGCAGTTGATTTAGTCTGTTCTTTGATTAGCTTCTATGATTCAGTATCCTTTCCCAGGTTTGCCCAGCTAACACTGGGCATGCGGTACCCCAGAGAGGCAGAGCCTGTGTAGTGGGGGATCCCTTGGAGGAAGTATTTAAGGATGCTCTACATGTTTAAGATAGAGTTGGCAATCTCAGGTGACTTCAGGGCCAAGCAAGAGACATAATCAAGTGACTAAGGCCATGAGAAACATGTCACTTTCTATGTGTGTCTTCTTGTCTCCTGTTTTGATAGAGACATGGGTACAATAAGTGTTTCTTAAACTGTATGAGCAACAACAGGACACGTGCGTTGATGCCAGATAGCCAGCACCCAATCTCGAGTTGGGATATAATCAAGGATGGTAAGGGCTGGAGTAGTTGGATAGGACAGGTCATTCGGTAGGGGCACCTGCTATTTAGCTATAAGCCAATTAGTGCCACACGAGAATGTAGGACCAGTTTAGCCAGACATTCTCAATGTTTTTCCCTAGAGAAGCCAAAAACTCAGACTTTTATGTGAAATCTTGAAATTTTTAAATATTGGCAGCTAATTATTTTTCTACACACTGTGGGCCAATGGGGTCAAACACATTTGTGAGTGGGGAAATCTGGCCCGTGGATAGCAGTTTGTAACCTCTGATCTAACAGCTTGAAGGCCTTGTCCTTTCAGTCTTTGGACAGCTCTGTCTGGTACCATTTCTCCCTCCATAGGGCCAACCCATAGTGTCTGGCCCCAAGGAGAAGACTCTTCCAGTGCTAGGGAAGTTAAGGCAGCCTCTCTGAGAGCTGTGAGCTGCGGGATCACGAGGCTGCCTGCCCCAACCTTGGAGCCTTGTCAGAGTGAAGGGAGCAGAAGCTGAAGAGTCAAACCCACCAGCAGCTGCTTTGTGGAGCAGGGATTCAGTGAAGAGAGATTTGTCCATTCGTCCGTCATCTCATGACAACTCTGAGCTATGTTCTGAACTACAGACCAGCCCCAGGTCTGGGCTCATTTGAAGCCTAGAATGAAAATAAAACTTTTTAACTTGCTGCAAAATCCTCCTTTGTCTTGGTTGTATATTTCACTTATGTCTCAGGAAATCTTAGCAACTGTTTGTAGTGGGTTGTTTCTGTTGGATTTGAGGCGATTGTTGTCTCTGCTTCATCCTGCTCAGTCACCATCCAGCTTCCTCAGTTTGCTGATTCTGCTTTCCCTTCACATCATGATCTCCCACCTTACCTGTCTCTGTGGGATCTTTCAGCCTTATTCTTGAGGTCATTTCCTAGTTCACATTTTTGAATGGAATCTGGTTAGCTCAGTTAATCTTATTATGTCATGCTTTGTCTTAGAATGAGATGGTAGACACGGGGTCAAGAGCTCCAGGTCTTCTCATCTCTTGTGACTCTTGGAAGGGCAGGCACTTTTTCCAACATTGCTTGTACACTTGTTTTCTTACCTAAGAGCACTCAAAGACTTCCCATACACATAATTCCAAAGAGGCCCTTGTCTTATACAATCTATTACCAAACAAACATATTCACTCCTGCAGTGGGATGGTATCTGCAGAAGTTAGAATCTTTGTAGCTTTAAGTAACAGAATTCAACTAAAAGTGATTCAGACATCAATTATCTCAACTAACAAGTTGTTTTTGATTAATTGGTGACTCAGTGATGTCCTAAGGTCCCAGGTTCCTTACATATATTTCTCTGCCATGCTTAGGGGGTTGGCAGTTTCCTCTGTGGCCCCATTATTTTGCAGTTCCAGGTGTCAGGTGTAGGTGACAAATCTACCCAGGAAATTCCTCCTAGCAGCTCTCCAGTGGATTTGCCTTCATGTCTCACTGGCCAGAATTGTGTCACATGGCTGTGACTAAACGAGTCTCTTGGTGGGGGAAGTGAGGCCACCAGGATTATTGGTTAGACCAGTAGATTTACCTCTTGGTGTCAGGGAGGAACCAAGCCACCCTGAAGGACATGGTCACCTGGAGGAGGTGAGATGCTGAGTGCCTGTTGTTTATATAACCACCAGTGTTTGACACTAATCCCAAAGTCATGTCCATCTAACAGCCAGGAGCAAGGCCAAGGAGTAGTACTGAACACTGCATGTCAATCTCTTCTTCAGTCTCAGTTTCAGTGATTTGGCCCAGATGTTACTTCCTGTTATTTTGCAATCATGTTCTAGACATCAAATTTAACCACCACTAACTCACCTGAGAGGAGCAATCAGGCCTGTCCGTTCATTAACAAATTCTGATATTCAAGAATAGCCAGGAAAACATTGAAAAAGGAAAAACTCTGAAGGGAGGCTAGCCTTACCAGATATAAAAACCTATTAAAGCTCAGAAATGGACCCAAGTACATGTGGAAATTTAGTATACGTTAAGGATGGCATCACAAATCATAGGGCAGAGTGAACTTTGTAATAAATGATGCTGAGACAACTGGGAAGCTCTTCGGAAAAAGATGACGTTAGCTCCATATTTCAAACCATTTGCAAGAATAAACAAATGGACGGGGGATCTAAATATAACAAGAAATCATACAAATACTAAAAGAAAACATGGATGAGAAATCCAGAGGCAATAAATGATTGGTACAGTGGTTAAGTGCTTGGCTGCTAACCTAAAGGTTGGCGATTCAAACCCATCAGCTGCTCTGCAGGAGAAAGATTTGGCAGTCTGCTTGCATAAGGATTATAGCCTGGGAAACCCTATGGGACAGTTCTACTCTGTCCTTTAGGGTCACTATGAGTCAGAATTGACTCAATGGCAATAAGTTTGGTTTTTAGATTTGACATAAAAATTTAAAAGTTTCTGCAAATCAAAACTACAACGAGATACTATCTCACCCCTGCAAAAATGTCACCGATCAAAAAAACAGAAAACAAAAAATGCAGGCTAGGATGTTGGGGAGATTGGAACTCTTATCCACTGCTGGTGGGATTATAAAATGGTACCACCACTATTGAAAATGATATGGCACTTCTTTAGAAAGCTAGAAATAGAAATACTTTATGATCCAGCAATCCTACCCCTAGGTATATACCCTAGAGATCTAATAACAGTGTCACGAATAGACATATGCACACCTATGTTTATTACAGCATTATTCACAATAGCAAAAAGGCGGAAATAACCTAAGTTCCCATCAGTGGATGAATGGATAGACAGAATGTGGTATACAATGCAAGTATAAAGAACAATGATGAGTCCGTGAAACATAACGTGGATGAATCTGGAGTACATTATGCCAAGTGAAATAAGTCAAGCACAAAAGGACAAATACTATATGATAGTACTTTTATAAAAAGACAAAAATCAATGTTCTTTGGTGGTTACCAGGGATGGGAGTGGGAGGGAAGAGGAATCATTCTCTAGACAGTAGACATTTGCTATTTTTGGTGATGGGAAAGTCAATACCAATGTGTGTGAAGTGTGCACGATTTAACCAAGGTAAATAATGACAATAAGAAATACACAAGATTAAGGGACCTTAACTGGTAAATGCTATAACATACACAGTTTGGCAACAACAGCAGTAACAACCAAAAAATATGTGAGTGGTTACATAGGTAGATGTATATGTATGTATGTGTATAGCAAGGTCTAAGTGTGTATATCTATGTGCATATATAGGTGTATCTGTAGGCATAGATATATACATGTTTGTGTGTGCTGCACATATATTCATATACATATATATGTTTTATATATATATATATAAAACAAACCACATAGGGAACACAGTCATGGTTCTCCCAGACATAACAAACACCTCACAGGATTGGTTTACTGTGGGTTTGAAGGTTTAGCACATAGTCTTGTGGGACAACTCTGTCAATTGACACAACATAGTCTATAAAGTTTATGTTCTACAGCCTGGTATGGTAAGTAGTGTCAGGGGTCTTAAAAGCTTGCGAATAGCCATCTAAGATATAACTATCGGCCTCTACTCATCTAGAACAAAAGAGAAGGAAGGAAATCAACGACTTGAAGAAGAAACTAGTCTGCAGGACTAATTGTCTACATGAACCACAGTCTCATCTATCCAGAGACCAGAAGACCTAGATGGTGCCTGGCTACCCCACTGACTGTTTTGAGCAGGGACACACTAGATGGTCCCAGATAGAATGGGAGAAAACTGTAGAACAAAACTCTAATTCTTACTTAAAAAAAAATAAAAGGCCAGACTTACTGGACAGGTAGAGACTAGAGGAATCCTCAAGACTATTGCCCCGAGATACCCTTTAAACTCTGAACTGAAACTACTTCCAGAGGTCACCTTTCAGCTAAATGACAGATTTGCTTATAAAATAAACAATATCACCCGTGAGTACTGTGCTCCCCACCCCCTTTTTTTTAAATCATCTGTATGAGATCAAACGGTCAACATTTACCCTAAAGCATAGATGAGAAGGCCAGGGAGGGCAGGAAAGCTGGATTAATGGAAGTGGAACAACCAGAATGGAAAAACAGAGAAGGCTGATACAATGTGGAAAATGTAACCTATGTTACTAAACAATATACATAGAAATGGGAACCTAATTTGCTGTGTAAACTTTCACTAAAAACTCAATAAAATATTTTTTAAAAAGTTACTTGATAAAAAAATTCATAAAAATATTTTGGGAGAAAACATTTACAACATATATCCTAGACAAAGGGCTAATATCTCTAATACATAGTGAATTAAACATTAAAGAACAGAGGAGAAAAACCTTGCTAGAAAAGTAGAAAAAAGACAGAAGTAGACAACTCACAAACAAATATATAAAAATGGTCCTTAAACATGAAAAAATGTTCAAACTCACTCATGATAGGGAAATACAAATTAAAACAATACTGAGATACCATTTCTCATCTCTCAGGTTGGTGAGGAAAAAAAAAGTATGAAAGCACATTCTATTAGACAAGGCTGTAGAGACAAAGGAGCCCTGGTGGTGCAGTGGTTAAGCACATGGCCGCTAACCAAAAGCTCAGTTGTTCAAACCCACCATTCACTCCGAGGAAGAAAGATGTGGCGGTTGTTTCTGCAAAGATCACAGCCTTGGAAACCCTATGGGACAGTTCTCCTTTGTACTATGGGGTCATTAGAAGTTGGAATTGACTCAATGACAGTGGGCTTGTAGAGAAACAGGCACTCTCGTATGTTGTTGGTGGGACTGTAAACTGGTATGACCCTTCTGGAGGAGGAGTTGAGGGACCCCTGGTGGCACAATGATTAACCGCTCAGTCGTTCGGCCAGGATCTGCTCCAGTAAGGATTACAGCCTAGGAAATCCTATGGGGCAGTTATACCCTGTCCTATAGGGTCACTATGGGTCAGAATTGACTCAGTGGCACACAACAACAAAACTACAAAATCACATACCCTTGGATGCAGCCATTCCACTTCTACGAATTTCCTCTGAAGATACCCTTCCAATAATACGAAAATACACAGGCACAAGATTATTCATCGCTCATTGTATGTAATTGCAGAGTACTCCAAACAACCTAAATGCTCATGTTTAGGAGAGAGGTTGAATAAACTATGGTACATTCATGATTGAGTACTATTTAGCTGTAAAAAAAAAAAGAATGAGGAGGATCTCTATGAACTGATATGGAGTGATTTCCAGGATATATTGTTAAAGGCAAAAGTATAATGAACTACTTTTCATGTAAGAAGGAGGGGATATAAGAAAATATATATGTATCTGTTCATTTGTGAAAAAATAAATACAGAAAAGATTAGCCAGAAACTAATGAGACTACTTATTTCCAGGGGTGGGTGGGAATAGAGTGGAAAGAAGGGGAAAATAACATGGTAAAAAGATGGTAGAGTAACACAATTTTCTGAGTATATCTTCATATAACTGACTCTCAGAGCCATAGCAATGTTTCTCACACTTCTCCAAAAATAATAATTGCCTCCAAGAACAACTGCCGTCTTTGCCGTGAGACCAGAAAAACTGGATGGTGCCAGGTGACCATTACTGAACATTTTGATCAAAGATTCTACAGAAGAATCCTGATCAAAAGGTGTGGGTGGTGGTGGTGGTGGTGGTG